AAAGAGGAAGATGCGAATGACTCGACAGAGTCCAAAGATGAGGAGTGTTGTAGAGGAATGGTGGTTATACCATATTTACAAGGATGCCGGAACAGTTCAAGAGAGTCGCTAAGAGGCATCGTTTCCGTACCGCATTCAGACCTGGGTATAAAGTGAGACAAATGAAAACAAAGGCACAGAAACCACTGGGAGAGAAACGGAAGACTGTTATATATGAAGTTCCTTGCAAATGTGATGAGGCGGTTTATGTAGGAGAGACTTGGCGCTTATTTAGAACTAGAAAGAAAGAGCATATGCGTAATTAAAAGTTCGGCTGACGGAAGAGGACATAAAGAATGGAAAAGTGGAGTCGGCAGAAGAAAGAATGGGTAAGGAAGATGGAGGTTTGGCGAGACATAGCGTTGATTGCAAGAGTGGGATTGATTGGGAAAAGGCACGAGTGATAAAAACTGAAAATGGATTAAAACAGAGGAAAGTAAGAGACGGAATTGAGTCTTTAAGAGAACAATATAACGGCTACACGGTTTTGAACAATTTCGAACATTTGGTGATGTGGAGACCATTGTTAAATAAGTATTTTAAGAAGGAACATGCATGTAAATAAGAACACGCGCACGCAATTGGATAGTGACGCGCGCGCGAACTGACGTGACTGACAGTTAAAGTCGTCAGCATTTTTTAATATAACGTTAACAACAGTTGTCGCCTGATAACGGACATTTAAAATGTCCGAAACGTTGCAAATTTAAATAAATTAACCTTTTTGTATATATCCTTGAGAAATAAAAATAAGAAATAAATTATAAATATTTTAATACTGGAATCGTTTTAATAATTTAAAATATTTACAAATATGAATGGAAAATATCGGACCTTTAATCACAATGCGGCCTATAGGCTATAGTCTATATATACTATACATATCAAAATGTAGAATATTCACATGCAATATTGATTGAATAATAAAACACTTCAAGTAAAGTTTCTTTTGTTTTTTTTGCTACTATGTACAAAGCAAAAGAAACTCTATACAACTATATCGTTAATCACTACTTACACTGACACATGCTTACACTCATGGATACACAATTTCTACACTGTCCAAAAATGTGAATTATTTATTCATTTAACCTTCAATCACTGTCCGTTTCTCCTTCGAAAAATCTTTCCTCTGTAAATGTCAAATATAAAGGCATTCAGGGATCCACTAATTTTCTTGCATTACTAGGTTTGTGTCTACTGGAGACATATATGATATAAGATTGAAGAAAATTTCATGAGTACCAGGATTGGATTGTAAGGATCTGTGCACATCTATCTAGCAAAGAATACAAAACAGCAAATGTATTAATTAATGTATTAACAAAAAACAATGCTTAAGTACATCCTACACACATGAGACATGTATGGAAAGGCAGAACATATTTGCAAATATTGAAATGAATCTCGGGTGGATCAGGCTTCAGTTGTAAGAGAGGGGGTGGATGTTTTCCAGAGATGGGGGGCGGGGGTGTGCATTATTATAGGGCATTCTCCTCCGGAAAAGGTTTGGAATTTAAAGCCATGAATGCCATTTCCTGTATTCTGAGCAATACATCTATATTCATTAAGTTTGTCCTCAACGATTAAGAAAGTAAACCTTAAACTCTCTCCTTGAAAATAGAATCGTCTGGTGTCGGACAGAGAAAAATAATAAAGAAGGGTGCATCAGGGAGCATTGCCAAGGATGTACAAAGCGACGATATCTACATAGTCAAAACACATACTAGTTAAAACACAAAAAAATGTGACAGTTTTATCAATTTCATAAGGTTTATAAATACTCGGCATTAGCCCTTTGTGTTAACCCATTATAAGGTGCATTACACGCCCATGCACCCTACTTTATTATTTTAATCTACCTATACTGCAACATGATTTTACAGGTACTTGTCAAGGGACGATTTTTGTCAATTAATGGGTTAACCGAAGCACCTGCCAGTGTGTTCGGTTAGTCCTTGAACTCTTTAAGTAGCATTGCACCCTTTCAGTGTTATTTTGCTCCACAAAAAGAGACTGCAGGAACTTGGTAGTGGCATTGCGCTAAGTGCACCCTACTTGTTTTTTGCATGTACCCTGTCTCAAACCAAATCATCTCAAACCAAATCAAGGGTGACTGTTGGCAATTAATGGGTTGATGTGTCAAATGAGCCGTCCATCTAGAGAGAAGTGGCATGAATTTGGTTCATCAATATATTCAACCGATAAACAAACTCCCCCAAAAATTAAAGTATATATAGTGGAGAAAATTCAGCTTGTAAGGGGCAAGTGTATATCGACAACAGTGAGCGGGTGACACATTAAACTCATTAACCCTTCAAGTGGCAAAGCGCCCCACTTTTTTATTTTACTCTGTCTAACGCCACTTTATTTTACTCTGTCTAACACCAAATGATTTTACTCGTCAGGGAGAGAGTGCCGCCACTCGATGTGCCATCTCACTTTAACACTACATGTAGCAATTAATCTACTTTACTTGACTACTTCAAAAGCGGTATTTAACAGGGAAGCGAGTGACACAAACAAATTAATCACTGGTACAGACATACAGTCCAATTGCATTTTTCCATTAAAAATTCATATCAATACATTCCATTTCATTTCAAGAAAGAAAAATTACTTCATTATAGAGTTAATACCTGTGTCAAATGGGTAATTTGTCCAGGACAGATAAGAGATGTGTCATCTCTCCTTAACACTACATGTAGCAATTAATCTACTTCAAAAGGAGTATGTACAGTATCTAACAGGGAAGCCATTGAGCAAGTGTCCCTTAAGTATATAATTAATCACTGGTGCGGTCTAAGTGCATTTCGCCATTGAAAATTACATCGATACATCGCCATTTCAAGAAAGAAAAATTACTAGATTATAGTGATACTGTGTCAGATGGGTCATCAGTGCCGAGGACGGATAAGAGATGAGTCATCTCACCTTAACACTTCATGTAGGATAAATCTACTTTGGAAGGAGTATGTACAGTATCTAACAGGGAAGCCATTGAGCAAGTGTCACCTAACTTAATATAATTAGTCACTGGTACAGTTTTGTACATCATTGGAATAAAGCTATCAAAGTTTGTGAGTAAGCCTGTTGAAGTGCGTTTGTGATGGACGGAGGTCGTGAATGAGCCGTTTGAACGCATTACGTTAGATCTATACTCCTTTTGAGTTATTTTAGTTATCTAATATTAACCATAACTACAGGGTGTATCAAAAAAAACTGAACAGATTTGAAATTGCTCTCAATTTCGCAAAACACCTATTTGTATCCGGTTTTTATATATATAGCTTCTTTGGGTACTTATAATGTAGAATAATGAAAAAAATTTCTTGAACTCAAATTTTGTGAACCAGGGGGGTGTGTCTTTTCCAACAAACTAAAAATGGCTCGCGCACAAATTTTAAAAGTTGTAATCATATTTTGAGTTAATAGATGGAAAATTTGTCGGGTTTTTAATTACTGTACAAAATTTCAGAAAATTTGGTTTGGTTTAAGCCCTTTAACTATTCACGCAAAGTTACATTTTTCCTAAAAATCAGCTTTTCGCATGCTTAATTAATGCATTTGCCTAATTTGCATATGTCAGCAATATGCAAATTAGGTAAAGGCATTAATTAAGCATGCGAAAAGCTGATTTTTTAGAATAAAATAAATAGTTAAAGGGCTTAAACTAAACCAAATTGTCTGAAATTTTGTACAGTAATTAAAAACCCGACAAAGTTTCCATCTATAAACTCAAAATATGATTACATCTTTTCTTAAATATTGTGCGCGAGCCATTGTTAGTTTGTTGGACAAGACACACACCCCTGGTCCACAAAATTTGAGTTTGAGAATTTCTTTTCATTATTCTACATTATAAGTACCCAAAGAAGTTATATATATAAAAAACCGGATACAAATAGGTGTTTTGCGAAATTGAGAGCAATTTCAAATCTGTTCAGTTCTTTTTTATACACCCTGTATATACTGCATATATTATATACTACTTAAATTGTCCAGCAAATTATTTTATCCTAATGAGCAGTTTTATTATGTGCTATTAGTTAGTATTTTTATACTCCATTGTACATGATAAATTGAAATATGCAATTAAAATAAATTGAACTTGAACAATCCCTATATGCGCTGACGCTGGCGTTCAAGTTGGTTAATTAATTAGGCAAAGGCGTACATTATGGGTGTGTATAGGAGGGGGGAAGTGGGGTTGAAATCAGTGGGGTCGGTCCCAGTTTTCTTTGCGACTGTATCAAAGGTCAGTCCCGATATTTTGCTATAAGAGTTGTTTAATCCATAAATGCCACAAATGTGTGTAAATGGGGAGCTTTTAATTGTAGGAAACCGCTAACCGCAAACTTTAAATCGTATTTGTCAACTGTTCAAAGTCAGGACAATTTGTGTATTAAAATTATGCATATACCGGATAGCTTTCCGTAGCGGCGCGAAAAAGTACAACTTTCAGAAGCTGAGCGAAACAACATTTCTCCGTAACTTGCAATAATTCCTCTGAAAATAGCGTTCCTAAAAGGTACGGACAGGTGTTTCTTCACGTCGCTACGGAAAACTATCCGTATAATTTACTTAGCTATGAATTATGAAAAACCTGCAGAACTATACCTACACTGCCACTGAGCTTCCACTATAGAAATAATAGATATCTATTATTTCTATGACCTTCAAGGTTGGGGATACAATCCAACGATCGTTCAATAACTTTGCTCCCCCAAATTTAAGAAACAATGTCTTTGCATGTAAAACATAAACTCGAATAAGGTGAGACAGCACCCGAGAAAACCGAATTCATAGTCTGTTAGCGAAACCATTTTACTTAGGAAATTAAATCATCTCTTTACGCCAAAGTAATCTATTTACGCCAACATGGAGCGCAGGCTCGCGGTGCAGCGTCATGGCCACACTGCATGGCCATGGCCAGGGCTCTCAGTTTTAAGGAAATTTCCTTAAACTGAGGAAATAATATTTAAAAATTCAGTCAATTTAGCTGTGTTTATATGCAAAAATACTTTTTAAAAACGCAGGAAATGCAGTCTTATGCATTCAGGACTGCAAACATTTTTCAAAGGAAGATATTCCTCGACCAACAATGTGAAATCCCTTCTGACGATGCTGCTCAAAATCCCAATTCCCAAATGAGACAAAAATTCTGGGAACCTAACTTTGTAATTCTCAATCATCCAGGCCATGAATTACCAAAAAACATGCCTGCCCCACGTTTAAGGAAATTTTACTAAATCTGAGGAATTTTTTACCGAGAATCTAAGGAATTCCAGGCAATGGGAAATGAGAGTATACGTACTGTCCATGGCAACACGATTTAATTATTTTGTTCCAGACGGAAAAAATAAACGAATGTTTTGCACTTTTAACCACAGAACTATCGATTTTTAACATATATAAAGCAGGTATGTTATTTTGCTTTGTATGGGCTTGTATAATGTAAAATTCAACACGAAACGCTTTTAACTGTTCATTAAAATCAACTGCTTTTTGTCGATAAACTCTTCGGATTATTACATTACTCGTACTTTAAAATGAAATAAATTTAAGTCATACAGGTCGCTCTTGAAAATAATTTTCTCCTTTTTTTAAAGAAATTAAAACAAGTTAATTCAAATAAAATATTTGGTGCTTTTATATACCTACTATATGTTATCTGTGGTTCTTACGTACTTACATTTGTTTATACACTGACACTGTATATAAAATATTGGAAGTTTCTTTACATAAATCATGAATAATAAAAAATGGCAAAATAAAAGTTGGTGAACTTAAATCAGAAAACGTATTCCCTAGCATTAGTTAAATATGGCAAAAGTAGATCCCAAATCCGCTTCTCCACAAAGAAATAGTCCTGTTACAGAAGAGTTCGATCTAAGAAGTCGAAAAAAGCGTGCGAGATGGACATATAGAGGAATATGTATATTCATAACTATTATTTCGATAATTTTGGGCGCCCTACGAGCATTTGATTTTGAGGAAAATAATAACTCCGCATTTCCTGGCTTGTTTGCAACCGTGTTGGGCTTATTTAGTGTCGTACTCGGCACGTTGGTCGATCGCTTGTCACTTATTGCCGAAGAACGTCATCATCTGCATCAACGCTACGACGGAAGTTGGAAAAAGATGTTCAAAGCTTGCTTCAGTGGAATCCGATGGGGTGGAGTAATCGTTGTACTAATTTTGAACACTATAATGTTCATTGTTTTCGTTAAGGAAGCGCATATGCCTTGGTTTGAGCTAGGCTATCTTGTGCATATCTGAAGCGGAATCGGTGCGGTTCCGCTTGTTATGCAGTTGCTTCATCTCAACACACAATCCCAGGTTCGTAATTCTGCAATTCTTGAGGAAAAAGAGATGTCTCCGGGTTACATCCTTGCGTGGTCCTACTACTATAACTATCTCACCCCAGCTCTGCAAAAATTTAAAGAAACCATAAGTCGTCCCTTTCCTGATCAATTTAAAAGCGTTAAACTGTCCTTGAATAAATTGCTGTTGCTCATACCACTTGATTGCTACACGACAGACAATTTGGAAGAGGCAGACGGAAATATTGAAAAAATATTTGACGCCGGGAACGAACAAGCCCATTTCCGTTTCTCTGTTTATCGCTTCAAGGAATTACATGAACCCAAATATTTTGCCATACAATACGTCAAACAGCCTTTGAAAACTTTGAGAGAAATAAGCAAGTTGGAAAACGTCAAAGGTGTAAAAAAACAAAATAGGGAAGAGGAAGTAAAATTACTTTACAACACACTTATTGACATATTAAAAGAGCCACCAGACCAGGATATTACAGGAATGTGCGAAGTCATACCAATGCCAATAAGTTTCGAAAGTCTACAAAACGGAGGACTAGCTAAATGTCTCATCAATAAAATTCAATCTTTATGTGATAATCAGAATGATAGTGGTGCCAGTACGTCAGAGAACAGTTTAGAAATGATGAACACTGCAAATGAGAATCAACAAATAGACGAGGTACAACAGGTATGATACCAACTCTAAACCTAGCCTGGGATTTCGGCTATTAGCATGCATTTCCCAATGGAATGTAGGAAAACTTCCTATATGCCATATTCGGCATATTGTTTATTTTTTGTCCCTCCAAACAAGCGACTAGACCCAGTCCTCTGCTCAATTGGGAAATGGCTAATTGGGAATTGCATTCGAAGCTATTGTCTATAATTATTGTCTTATTCGGATTCAAATTTAAAAATCTAGCTATCTTTCAAAAATTATTCCAAGAAAATTTTTATGTACATGCATGCAAAGTGAAAAAATATGATTTCGACCGGCAATTTTTAATCGCATCGGCCATCGTGTTTAATTTTGGCCATTTTTGTTTGCAATAATGACAGATGTATCGTAAATAGTTCAACTTCGTTTACACAGGTTGATCACGCTCCGCCGAACCCTATACAAAGTGGACAATCTATACAAGATGAACAACAAGAACAAGAACAAGAACAACAACAACAAAACGACGAAAGGCCACAACGTAATAATGTGCAAGACGCCGGGTATACCAGTTATTGCACTACATCTTGATTGCATATGGAAATCAAGCAAGAATAATGGCAAGAATAACATTATTATAGCCTGTGTTCCAGTCCATAACACCGTTAGTGGACTGGAACACAGGCTATAACATCTTCAACAACGTGTCTGATCACCCGGGATTAACTTTTTGTCGATGATAAGCAAAACCGGAAAATTAATGAAACTTTGTATAGATTTCAATCCAGGAAACAAGTATATATAACCACAAGTGATCTAATGAACGCCTGGTTCAGCCTGGATCTAATAAATATCATGTCATTGATCTCACTCGATAGAACAAATCGTAGAAGTCTTTTGTAGATGGAAATTTTGAGTGTGAATTTTTATACATTTATCAGACCTGACCAGGAGCAGCAACGCACCAGGTTAGATCTTAATAAATGTATAAAATTTACGCACGAAATTTCATCGACAAAACCCTAGGTCCATTTAATGGACTCAATTCAAGGATTATTGGACGCTTACTTGACTAAACAACCTAAATCGTGTTGGAGCGTAAATGCAATGAAGTGCAAGAGCTACGAAAGTTGAAGAGTTTTGACTTTTGTTCACTCTACTTGCAAATTGTTGTAACAAACCGCTGAATAGCGTTGTTTAAGAAACGTAAAACTGCCGAATGTACATACGAATAAAACCTGTCTCCAATAGAGGCTCCGCAAGTCTATTTTTACTAATTATATAATCAAAGCACCTCAAGATCACCACGCACATGATCCAATATAAAGGAGTTAAAAGAAGAATTCATAATTAGTATAAGTAACAATGTAATGACTAATGTAGTATTATTGGCACCAGTATATTTGATGTATATGTCGATCAAACTCCCTATAGTATGGGGGATCAGCACCTTTATTATGTATATAAATAAATGTATTTCCTTCTTTTTATACTGAAAAAAATAGTTGAAATAAATGGATCTCGAACGATCCTTATACATATTTACACCATATAAATAACCATAAAAGACCCTGCACTGTGAAACGATTTTGAAATAAAATCGAAATGTCACGAACTCATGTTTTTTATTGCATCTCTTTGCCTTCTAAGAGTTTTAGCTGCATCAGGCTTATAAATGTAAGACATTTCGGATTCACAAATTGCGCATTCACAAATTGCGGCATGCCTAACAATTCGCTGGTGTATATAGCCTGCATGTTTAGGTGTAAAAACGCCTTCATGCTTGAATTAACAAATATAAAACATTTTCCGTGTTGATATCTACAGTTATGATATTTGTTGTGTTGGTGTAATCTACTCAGGTGAATAAGATGCTTGTGATGTTACTCTGAGTGTGTATCCACACCGGGCAGGCTTGAAAATATGCCCGGCAACGGTGGCCAGGCATATTTTTCAAGCTTGCCCGGTGTGGATATACACTCAGAGTAACATCACAAGCATCTACAGTTATATCAACACGAGTGGACATTAAGAAAACGAGAATTTGTGTGGAAACACGACGTCCAGAGCCCCAGTGGAATGTTTTCACACAATTTCGAGTTTTCCCAATTTCCACGAGTGTTGATAATGTAATGTAATGTGTAATGTAAAACTTTATTTCAATACGCTAACCTCGACAATTATTTACAACTGGTTTCCACGAAGGGCGTATACACACAAAGAGCTAAATGTTAATTATATATAGAACAAAATATGTAAGAATCCCACCCTAAAATATTATCATCTTCCTCCCAAACCTCCACCCCCTAAACAAGTACCCACCCACCCTCACGCAAAACTAACCCCCCTCCCGCCCACAATCTATATTGTCCTCCCATCATTTGGTCCTGGAGAAATTAGCTTATCATCTGCTTAAATGCAATTTCGCCATTGTTTTAAATGACGTAATTGACTCAGCCGCCTTGACATCTTGCTGCAGACTATTCCATAGAATTGCTCCACTGTATCCAAATGTTTTCTTTAGAAATTCCGTTCTCGGTTTTTTTAACGAGAGATCAGTTTCGCTATTGCGTAAATCATAAATATTCTGCGATGCATTTCTCCGAGAAAAAAGATCTTTAAGGTTTGGCGCAGTGTGGTTCCCCAAGACTTTATACATCAATACTAGCTTGTTTTGTTCTCGTCTCCTAGCTAGGGTTTCCCAGCCTAATTTGTTTAGGACTTCAGACGATCTTACATCGTAGTCAGCTCCGGTAATCACCCTTGCTGCTCGATTTTGGAATTTTTGCAATTTGTCTTGAAGTCCCAAACCACAGTTATCCCACAGGGAGAACAGTAATCAAAATGAGGCTGAATTAATGTTTTGTAGACATCATGTAAGGTTTTGTGTGGAACATAAGGTTTTATTCTTTTAATTGCTCCTATTCCAGCGCTAATCTTATGGCATACAGAATCAATATGTTTCTCCCAACTTAATGTTTCATCTAGATTTACACCTAGACATTTAAATGTATTGGTTTGTGGGACTGGGATTTTGTTAATCTCAACGGGTCTATTTCCTATTTTATGATTTAGATTATGCGTAGATCCAATAAACATGACTTTTGTTTTTTCCTATGATATTTTAGTTTGTTTTTAGCAAGCCATTTATGAATACTGGAAAGGTCCATATTCAAATTGTCAATCAATGTATCGTAATCATGCGAAGAGGAAGATATCTGAGTGTCGTCGGCATAAAGACATGGGGTTGTCCTTTCTAAAATATCAGGCATATCATTAATATATAGCAAAAACAATAATGGACCAAGTATGTATCCTTGCGGAATTCCGCATATTATTGTTCTTGCAGAAGAAGTTTGATCATTAACAGAACACACTTGCTTTCTATTCCTTAAGTATGATTGGAACCATTTTAACTCAATGTCGTGAATTCCAAACCGGGGTTTAAGCTTCTCCAATAATATCTCGTGATTCACCGAGTCAAATGCTTTACATATATCAAGAAAAACAACTCCATTTATTTTGCCTTCATCCATGTCTTGTAGCCATTGATCACACATTTGTATAAGAGCACCTAAGGTTCCATGTTTTGGTCTAAACCCGGACTGAAATTTAGACAGAAGCGCATGTTTATTCAAAAAGCTATATATTTGAGTAAAAACTTCCCCTTCAAATATTTTACTTATTATGGGAAGAATTGAAATTGGTCTATAATTTTCGCATTTACGCTTATCCTCAGATTTGTAAATTGGTATAACTCTAGCTAATTTCCACTCATCTATATAAATACCAGTTCTAATCGATAGGTTAAATATAAAAGTTACAGATGGAGAAATAAGGGTTGATGTCAGTTTTAAAATATTCGCAGGTATTCCATCCATACCTGTCGCTTTTGAGACATTTAGTTTTTGTAGGCGTTTGGAAACACTATCTATAGTAATATCTGCGAAGTAAAAATTTTCTTTAGGAAGAAGCACAGTACTTTCATAAATTACTTGATCATTTAAAGCATCAGTGCTTTGACATGCTGATTCAGCAGCCATCTTCATTCCAATATTTATAAAATATTCATTTAATGTTTCAGTAATAGATTTATCATAAGAAATAATATCATCATTTACTTTCAGTTCATTAATATTTGCATTCTTATGCTTTCTTCCTAAGAGCGAATTTATCCAAGCCCATCCACTTTTACTGTCTCCCATTTGAGAGCTTGCCTGGATTTTATCACAAAAGTACTTAGATTTTGTTTTCCGCATGTTTATATTTACTTCATTACGTAGTGTTTTATACAATTCCCACTGTGACTCCGAATCATATTTTATGGCCTTTTTTTTGTGATAGTCCCTTTTTCTCATAAGTTCTTTAATTTGAGGATTAATCCATGGGACAGGGTTATTCCTTATTCGCGTGTGGCGCAGAGGGGCATGTCTATTAAGTGCATCTAATAATAGTGATTTCCAGACTTGCCAACATAAATTGGGATCTCCAAACTGATAGACCATCTCCCAAGGCAATTGAGACACATCCCGAATGAAATCATTTTCGACAAAGTTTTTAAAGTTATGAACCTGACGAATTTTTTGCCTTCCATTCGGTAGTGTAAATTTTCTCACAGCGTAGACAAGGCTGTGATCTGAAATTCCCAGGTGAATGACACCTGATCTGGAAATATGTTCTGGTCTATTTGTTAATATTAAATCAATTAGTGTAGCTGATTTAGGAGTTAGCCTTGTAGATTCTTTAATAAGTTGGTCTATCTGATACAGAGAACATAAAAATTGCAACTTACATGTGTGAGGGTCAGGTATAGTTTTACTGACATCACAATTTAGATCTCCTATGAGGATTAGCTCCTTATCTTCATTATCACATTTTGCTAAAAAGCTTGCCCAGTAATCAAATATATTCATAAGAGAATTTGGTGGTCTATACCACGTGCTTATTAGCAGTGATTTATTGTAGGGTAAACTTAATTCAATGCAGACCATCTCAAGTTCATCAGGGATTAGATCTATTCTATCTGAGAATGATATGTTTTGGCGAACATATAGAACCACACCACCACCAAACCTATTTCGATCTTTACGAATTATATTAAAACCATCAATATGTATCTCATTATTTGAAATCTGATTATCAATTTTTGACTCATTAATTGCAAGAATGTCAAGGGCGTTATTGTTAAGGATTAAGCGAATTTCATCCAGATGTTTCATTAAGCTATTTACATTTAAGTTGGCTATCTTCAAACCTTTACTTTTGGCGATTATGTTAATTTCACTATCTATGCCTAATAAAGAATTGCTTGGCACATCTTGACAATTTACTTGTTCACGTTCATTATCGCATTTAGTAGTTCTGCCAGATGGTTTATTGTGTTCTTTGGAAAATCCTGACGGGAATGTTTTTGTGGGCGCAGTGAACTTAAGGATTGCCCATCCCTAAGGAACTTAATAAAATGTGTAGCTAGTATGGCAGTCCCCTTTGCATTTAGATGCAGGCCACTAGAGTTCAAACATGTCTCATCTATTGACATATTACTTATAAATGTCACATCATGCTTAGATGACAAACTCTGAACTTTCTCATTAATTTCTTCTATTTTTGATATTAAATCACTATCCTGTCTCAATGTAAGTCCAGAAATTCCAATTTTAGAATTAGGGAATTTCTGTTTAGCTGTTGTAATAAGTTTTTCCATGTTACCAACACATTCGTCTATAGATTCAACAGGGACATCATTTGTCCCTGCGTGAATAACAACATGAGACTGGTCCGGTTTAATATTAATTTTGGCAAGCTCATTAGTTATTTCTATAGTTGTTTTACCTGGATATGTGAATTTATAAACTTTCCTTTTTGAGAGTTTTACCGGACTAACATTTTTGATTATTGAATCCCCAATAAGTGCAATACCTTTCTTTGGTACTCGATCACTGTTACCACTTGTACCTTGCGTTCTGTCATCCTTGGGCTCTGTAGATTTACTTGTACTCTCAGACATATTTTGACTAGGTGTTGGTTGTTGTATATCAGAATCAATATTAATTACGGAAGCATCAAAGTCACTGTTATTGTTTAGTTCATTTGCCTCGTCCTCTAAAGACGAGAACTGGTTGTGCAGCCTTGTAACCTCGTTTCCTTTTTGATTCTCACTTCTTGTTGATGCTGAAGACAAGGTTGCTCACGCTGAGGACAAGGCTCCTCAAGCTGAGATCAAGGTTCCTCACGCTGAGGACAAGGTTGCTCACGCTGAGGACAAGGTTCCTCACGCTGAGGGAAAGGTTCCTAACGCTGAGGACAAGGCACGTCACGCTGAAGACAATGTTCTTCACGCGGAGGACAAGCTTCTTCACGGCCAGGAGAAGGTTCCTCACGCTCAGGACAAGGTTTTTCACGCTCTGGACAAGGTTCTTCACGCTGAGAACAAGGTTCTTCACGCTGAGAACAAGGTTCCTCATACTGAGAACAACGTTCGTCATGCTGAGGACAAGGTTTTTCACGCTCTGGACAAGGTTCTTCACGCTGAGAACAAGGTTCTTCACGCTGAGAACAAGGTTCCTCATACTGAGAACAACGTTCGTCATGCTGAGGACAAGGTTCCTCACGCTGAGGACAAGGTTGCTCACGCTGAGAACAAGGTTCGTCACGCTGAGGACAAGGTTCTTCAAGCCGTAGACAAGGTTTTTCACGCCGAGGAGGTTCCTCACGCTCAGGACAAGTTTTTTCACCCTGAGGACGAGGTTCCTCACGCTGAGGAGAAGGTTCCTCACGCTGACAACAAGGTTCCTCAAGCTGAGGACAAGGTTCTTTACGCTGAGGACAAGGTTCCTCATGCTGAGGACAAGGTTGTTCACACTGAGGACAAGGTTCCTCACTCTGAGAACAAGGTTCTTCACGCTGAGGACAGGGTTCCTCACGCTGCGTACAAGGCTCTTCACGCTGAGGACCAGGTTCCTCAACTTAGAACAAGGTTCCTCACGCTGAGGACATGGTTCCTCACGCTGAGGACAAGGTTCTTCACGCTGAGGACAAGGTTCTTCAAGCTGAGGACAATGTTCCTCACGCTGAGGTGAAGGTACCTCACGCTGCGGACAAGGTTCTTCACGCTGAGAACAAGGTTCCTTGTGCTGAGGACAAGTTTCCTCGCGCTGAGCACAACGTTCTTCACGCTGAGGTCAAGGTTCTTCACGCCAAGCACAAGGTTCCTCACTCTGAGGACAAGGTTCTTCACGCTAAGGACAATGTTCTTCACGCCGAGGACTAGGTTGCTCACCCTGAGGACAAAGTTCTTCACGCTGAGGACAAGGTTCCTCAACTTAGAACAACGATCCTCACGCCGAGGACAAGGTTCACGCGGAGGAGAAGGTTCCTCACGCTCAGGACAAGGTTTTTCACGCTCTGGACAAGGTTCTTCACGCTGAGAACAAGGTTCTTCACGCTGAGAACAAGGTTCCTCATACTGAGAACAACGTTCGTCATGCTGAGGACAAGGTTCCTCACGCTGAGGACAAGGTTGCTCACGCTGAGAACAAGGTTCTTCACGCTGAGAACAAGGTTCTTCACGCTGAGAACAAGGTTCCTCATGCTGAGGACAAGGTTCCTCACGCTGAGGACAAGGTTGCTCACGCTGAGAACAAGGTTCGTCACGCTGAGGACAAGGTTCTTCAAGCCGTAGACAAGGTTAAGGTTTTTCACGCCTGAGGAAAGGTTCCTCACGCTGAGGACAAGGTTCCTCACTGAGGACAAGGTTCACGCTGAGGACAAGGTTCCTCATGCTGAGGACAAGGTTTTCACACTGAGGACAAGGTTCCTCACGCTGAGAACAAGGTTCTTCAAGCTGAGGACAAGGTTCCTTACGCTGAGGACAAGGTTCCTCACGCTGAGGACAAGGTTCCTCACGCTGAGGACAAGGTTCTTCACGCTGAGGACAAGGTTCTCAACAAGGTTCCTCACGCTGAGGACAAGGTTCTTCACGCTGAGGACAAGGTTCTTCACGTGAGGACAAGGTTCCTCACGCTGAGGACAAGGTTCCTCACGCTGAGGACAAGGTTCTTCACGCTGAGGACAAGGTTCTTGTGCTGAGGACAAGTTTCTTCACGCTGAGGTCAAGGTTCTTCACTGAGGACAAGGTTCTTCACGCTAAGGACAATGTTCTTCACGCCGAGGACTAGGTTGCTCACCCTGAGGACAAAGTTCTTCACGCTGAGGACAAGGTTCCTCAACTTAGAACAATCCTCACGCCGAGGACAAGGTTCTTCACGCTGAGGACAAGGTTCTTCACGCTGAGGACAAGGTTCTTCACGCCGAGGACAAGGTTCCTCACGCTGAGGACAAGGTTCTTCACGCTGAGGACAAGGTTCCGATCAATCTTTTCCAGATAATTTGTTTCCATACCAGGCTATAATATAGAAAGAAGGGTTAGAAATAGAAATGGGGGAGGCATTGGATTTTATATAAGAGATGTTATTAATTATGAGCTTATGCATGAATTAGCTCAAGATCCACTGGAGTGGCTATGTATTAAGGTACAAAATCCTAAATCCAAACCATTCATCGTTGGTACTTGGTACAGACCCCTTTCTTCAACCACTGACATTATGAATAACCTCGAATTATTAATTAAGAAGTTAGAACTACTAGATATTGAAATTAATATTATAGGTGATTTTAGCTTTGATTTAGGTGCTTCTCCCCCTAACGCACCTACTAAACATTTCTTGGATCTCTGCTACTTATACCAGTACCATCAACTTATTAAAGAGCCTACTCGAATAACCGAACGCTCTTATTTATTACTAATAATCCAACAATGTATGTGAAATCTGGAGTTTGCCACATTGGTATTAGTGACCATTCACTTGTATATGCAATTCGTAAACTTTGTGTACCTAGAAACGATCCTAGAATAAATCGCAGCAGGCAATTTGGAGATTTCAACGCAAATTCATTTAGATATGACCTCTGCTTAGCCCCGTGGCATATCATTGAGGAGTACGAAAATGATCCAAATCTTGCTTGGGATGCTTGGAAAACTCTTTTCCAGAAAATATCTGATATTCATGCACCCAAACGGAGTAGAAAAATTCGAAATAAGCACTCTCCTTGGTTAACCCCAGAACTTATGAAATTGATGTTTGAGAGGGACCGACTGAAAAGAATAGCAAATAAACATGATACTGAACATAACTGGTCCAAGTATAGAAGTGCACGAAATAATGTTAACAAGATGTATACAAGATGCGAAAGTTGCATATTATCACAATTACTTTAGAAATAGCTTTGGTGATATTAAAAACACATGGAAAGGTGTGAATGAGCTTATGGGTAAAAACTCCCGTACCAATGTAATAAGCAGCATTAAAGTTGGTGACTGTAACTACACTTCTTCAAGTGACATAAGTATTGCATTTAATAACCACTTTACTCAAATTGAACCTAAATTAGTTAATAATGTTCCCACGTCAAACTCTAACTTCGAGCAATATATTACCACTACCGATAATAATTTTTCTATCACTGAGACAAATAATACAATTGGGTACAACTTGATTCAATCACTTAATGTAAATAAATCTACTGGTTTAGATGAGATATCATGCAAGCTATTAAAAGAAGCTTCGCCAATTGTTTTTTCATCCTTAACCCATATAATAAACTTATCCATAAGAAATGGGGTATTTCCCAATGATTGGAAAAGAGCTAGGGTAATGCCAATATATAAAGAAGACACAAAATCAGATCCTGATAATTATAGACCAATATCTATCTTACCGATTGTCAGTAAAATAATTGAAAAGATCGTTTTCTCTCAGTTTTATGGATACCTAATCGATAATAATCTATTGTCTAGTTCCCAACATGGATTTAGACCATTACATTCAACGCTTACGACTCTTCTAATATCTACCAACAATTGGTACCAAAATATTGATAAAGGGCTATTTAATGGAATTCTATTACTAGACTTAAAAAAAGCCTTTGATACCGTGAACCATCCAATTTTATTAAAGAAGCTTGAGATGTATGGCGTAGATCCTAATTCTATCAATTGGTTTAGATCATATCTAACAGGTCGCAAACAATGCACAAGCATTAATGGCACATTGTCTAGCTTGCTACCTGTTACTTGTGGGGTTCCTCAGGGATCGGTGCTTGGGCCCTTATTGTTTCTAATTTATATTAATGATCTTCAAGCCTGCCTCTCTACATCGTCCCTTATGATGTATGCTCATGATACATGTTTAACTGTTAGTTCTAACGATCCAAAAGACCTAGAGCTTAAACTAAATAACGAACTTAGAAAAGTGCAAACGTGGCTAAGGGCTAATAAGCTTACTCTGAATGTAAAGAAGACAAAATCTTAATCCTAGGAAGCCAAGCGAGATTAAGTAATCTGAATTATCGCTTTAACATTCAAATTAATGGACAGTCTATAGAAAGAATGTATTCTTATAGATACTTGGGACTTGAAATTGATGAATCTTTAAATTGGCAAGTACATATTGAAACCATTTGTAAGAAGATAAGTACAAGTCTTGGGGCGTTAAAGCGGATTCGAACTTTTGTACCCCAAAACACATTGATCCTGATGTATAAAGCCTTAGTGTTACCTTACTCAGACTATTGTAGTGAGGTTTGGGGCTGCCTTGGTAAAACCCTCTCTGAAAAACTCCAAAAACTGCAAAACAGAGCCGGTAGGATAATAACCTTCTCCGATTATGACGTAAGATCAGCTGATATACTACACAGTCTTGGTTGGGAAACTCTTGACCAACGTCGTGCTAAACAGCTCGCAACAAGTATTTATAAAGCAGTGAATAATTTATATCCCAACGAGCTTAATACTATTTTTGAACCTACCTCGCAAGTCCACTCTCACAATCTTAGAGGTAGTTCGCACAGTATGTTCACCCCTAGACCCAGAACGGAGGCTGGTAAATAGGAGCTTCGGCTACCGTGGGGCTGTGTTATGGAACGATCTTCCGGATGAAATAAGAAGTCTGCTTCAATATATCCTTTCAAAAATAAACTTTCTAACTCTCAAATTTAATACTAAGATTAAGTAGTTGTAAATATGATAGGATTGTATATATATTTAATTAACTAATTTCTTTTGTTTTTGTATTTTTACATGGCTCCTTGGAAGAGCGCTTTAGTGAAAGGACACAATGTTACCTATATTTGTATTTTTTAATAAAGATTCATTTAAGGTTCGTCATGCTGAGGACAAGGCTCCTCACGCTGCGGACAAGGTTCTTCACGCTGAGAACAAGGTTGCTCAACCTAGAACAAGGTTCCTCACGCTGAGTACAAGGTTCCTCAGGCTGAGGACAACGTTCTCCACGCTGAGGACAAGGTTCTTCACGCTGAGGACAAGGTTCTTCAAGCTGAGGACAAGGTTCCTCATACTCAGGACAAGGTACCTCACGTTAAGGAAAAGTTCCTCAAGCTGAGAACAAGGTTCAGCATGCAGAGAACAAGGTTCCTCACGTTGAGGACATGGTTCGCACGCTGAAGACAAGGCTCCTCACGCTGAGGACAGTGTTCTTCACGATGAGAACAAGGTTCTTTACGACGAGGATAAGGTTCCTCACGCTGCGGACACGGTTCTTCACGCTGAGAACAAAGTTCCTCAACTTAGAACAAGGTTCCTCACGCTGAGGACAATGTTCTTCACGCTGAGGACAAGGTTCTTCATGCCGAGGACAAGGTTCCTCACGCTGAGGACAACGTTCCCACGCTGAGAACAATGTTCTTTACGCTGAGGACAAGGTTCTTCACGCTGAGGACAAGGTTCTTCACGCTGAGGACAAGGTTCTTCACGCTGAGAACAAGGTTTTTCACCTTAGAACAAGGTTCTTCACGCTGAGGACAAGGTTCCTCACGCTGACGACAAGGTTCTTCACGCGGAGGACAAGGTTCTTCACGATAAAGAACAATGTTCCTCACGCTGAGGACAAGGTTCTTCACGCCGTGGACAAGGTTCTTCACGTTGAGGACAAGGTTGTTCACGCTGAGGAAAAGGTTCTTCACGCTGAAGACAAGGCTCCTCAAGCTAAGGACAGCGTTCTGCATGCTGAAAACAAGGTTCTTCATGCCGATTTAAGGTTCCTCACGCTGAGGACAAGGTTCTTCACGCGGAGGACTAGGTTCTTC